GTATTTAGTCGCCAAAATAAACAAGAAAAGTGTTTTGAAAAGAAAAAATAAAACAAGTGGTAGCTTCTGCTTGCTCTACTGGTTAAGAAACCAGTGTTGTTAAGGAAAGTATATAGACTTTATTATCATAAAAACAAAAAAGTTTTTTGAGAATGTCTGTTTTTTGGGTTGACAAAAGGATCAGTGGAAAGAGTTTTTATTTTTATAATGCATCTAATAATTTTATCTGAAGTATCTATAGCTTTATAATTAGTTTTGTTATATTTATTTTTTTGTTTAGTACTTTCATTTTTTCTTCAATTTTCTAATTCTCATAGTTTTTTTTATATATAAACCTAAGTAGGTATTTATAGCTGCTCAGCACTATTTAAAATATATATCAGTTTTAATATTTATTTTTCATATTACTTAGATAGTTTCTATAGACAAGCTAATATTAAACTTATTGATTAATTAGTCATATAAAAAATATTATCACTTTTTGTATATAAAATAATTTAAAATTTTTATAATAATAAAGAGATAATGTTTATTCACTTAAAAAAAAATAATAGATAATTAAAAAACAAAAACAAAATTTAAATTTTAAAATTTTTAAATCACTAATAAAAATTTATTGATATTTGATTTTAAATTTAAAAAATAAGTTAAATTATTTAAGTTAAATTATTTAAAGCAAAATTATTCTAATAATAAAATTATTTACTTAAACAAGATTTTGAAAAAAGAATAAAAATTTTAAAAATTTTAATAAAATTATAAAAGATAAAACAATTTTTTATAATAATAATCATTATTATTATAATTTAATATAAATGAAATAATAGAGTTAAAAAATTAATTTTTAATTAAAAAACTTATTATTATTGTAAAAAATTTTAAAAAAGTTGAAATAAATAGTGAAAATAAAAAATTAAAGAATTATAATTTTGTTGATTTAATTAGTAAAATTATTAATTTTAATAATTAATTTTGTTATATGTATTATTAGATTATATTATAATTTTTTTTTTATCTTAAACAAAATAGTTTATTTTAAATTATAAAATAACATAGTATTAATAAAATAATTTTAGTTTATTTAATATAATATTATTAAAAATTTCAAATATACTTCTTTTGAAATCTTACAATTTAAATAAAGTTAATGCAAATAATTTCAATAATATTATATATATTTATAAGTTTTATTTAATATACAGTATATCTTTTGACAAATAATTTAAAGATATTATATGTGAAATATTATATTCTATTTTAAAGATTTTGTGAATATCATCATCTTTATTAATTTTGCTTTTTTTTTAATTAACAAAATTTATTTTATTATAATCACATTTTAAAAAATCTATAAAACAAAAATTTTTTTTATGTTTGAAATATCTTATTTCATCAATTAGATATTGGAATAGTAAAATAACAAAACCATGTTATATATTGAATCCACTCTTTTGTTTCATGCTGTATATACAGTATTTTTCTTTTAAACATGTGTTAAAAACAATTGGTTAGAACAACTGTAATGTTATAATACATCATATTCTACAATGATTTTTTATGTTAAGAATTATTTTTATCCTTGATGTAAATCCCGTTTTTCCAAGAATCAATAGAAAGGTATCGTGACAAGACAAATATGTGTTATGGCAACAGATTTGTTAACCCATCATTCAAAATAAATACTACTATTTACAAACTTTAATTAATATATCCGTAATCACTAATGAGACTAATCTAAAATGAAATCTTTGGTCAAATGACTAACCATCATTGGCAAGGAGTCACAGCCACAAATAACTTTTTTTTTTTTTTACATGTTGACCATCCACATTAAAAATAGGTGTTCTTGTCCAGGTAAAGGTAGATCGAAGTGATTGCTAATTGATAACGTCCTACCGTCAATAAATAAAGCAACAATTTAATTATAAAGTCAACGATTGGTTATGTTTCGATATTTAATTTAACATTCATCGAATCCTATCCAAATAACCGTACGTGATTTCAAAGAGTCCCGATGTATAATTTAAACCTTGTGCAATAGATTAGATTTCTAACAAGTGATTCACTGTACCATCCATCCATTGTATTTGGTTGTTGATACTTTAACATCTACTTCCTAGTAGGTATATAATACATTTGGCAGAATTGAAATATCCCAAAATCCTGCCGATCTAAGAAAAGGCGTAACGAGAAGAAACAATCGGTCATCTATTCCTAAGCTCAAAGTTTAGGCTGCTTGTCCAAAGGTTTTGACAGATTTCAACGTTGTTCCATTGATTCCTATTCACATTTAATTTGGACTCACTGCTTTCGGCCCAAGCACTATTTCCTGCACTTCCTCCTTGCATCACCCAAATGACTTTCTCCACGAATCCTCTAACCATTTCTACAGTTTCCTCACCATTCGTTCCGCCTTCGATGTGGACACTTGCCTCCAAATGTCGAATGATATGGATCTTTCCGTCTTGAGTCTCACAGAACAAAACTCTACGTTCATCAATTGCATTGGAACTAAAAAGGTTGGCATTTCGAAGAAGACCAAGAATTTGTTCTTTTTCCCGGGAGCTGTTGATGGGGCAAACAAGGTGAATCACGTATGATTGAGAGAGATGATGGAGAAAAGGGACGATGTTTTCATAAAAAGCATGGTTTGGAGCTTCAGGATCTGGGGAAGGATTCCAAAGTAGGACCTGTGATGTGGTGCCAATATGCTCGTAAATATCTCGGCAAGGATGCCGAATGAAATTCTCAACAGTAAACCTACATTTTTCATTGATATAGACATAGATTTCTTTTTAGGGGTTGCGCCCCTAAACAACCTAGAGGCAAGATTTAGCTCTCTGTCTTGACTTCTTGGCACACGACGCTCAGTTCTACGTCGAGGTTGCTAAAGTAGGTTTTTCCTTCTTTGAATTCTACCGTGCAATAAAATTTTTGACGCAAGCGCAATCTGACTACTTACCGGTTCGGTCGTATCTTCCAACTCGTTCTCATCTTCTGAATCGCGTCTTTGTTGTGGTTGCGTTCTGTGGTAAATGTATAATGCACAAAAACCGACAGCGGCGACTGCCAAAATTGCATATGTTAATAAAGGTGTATTCGATCTACGTACTACAGACTTGGATGACATTGACTATATGCTTATTTGATAAACTAAGTTAAGGAAAGCCCAACCACTAGACTTGATGCGAGCAATCTGTTATTAAACGGTATACGTCATCGTATCGTCATCATCACTTTGTGCCACTCCGATGGAGGAAGTTCCCACGACATTCAACTTATGCACGGTTATGCAAGCTACTTAATTAGGACAAATCGCAATTTGACACAAGACCGAAAAACCATCATCATTTAATCAATGGCGTTTTCTTCGACTCACAACAAAATCCTTGGATCTGTGAAGTGGGTTCCGATAAAAGTTAATACCGTGTTCGGCCACGAGACGCACCTTGCAAAGTCCGTGTTCAGCGAGAATTCGTATCTCGTGCTCATCACAAACCTTCGGTACGTCTGGTTTGAGGAGTTATATGCAGACGAGATAAAAAAACGTTTCCAGGGAAGCAACATAAACTAATCAATCAATTCAATCCCAAATATGATTTGTGATTGTTCCCTCGTGAACTCACCCTTTGATAATTTTTTACAATACAGGAACTCAAAATTTTTCTCGATGTCGAGCGTCTACCAGAATACATTCAATATTTATCAGAATTCTTACGAGAACGTCTGGACATTGAGCATAAAGCCATTAGACTGGATGACATCGTAAGCATCCTCTCGGATTTATGATTATTTGAATATAATTTGTTCATGCAACCATTCTTCTCTTCGATACTAGTTATTACTGGAGTCTAAGAGGAGCGTAGGACCGGTGGATTTGGTTTGGAGTTTTTCGTGCAAGTTAATTCCCAGTTCATTGCCGAACACAGTATCACCTCGGTGTGATTCAAATGAGTTCATCGACGGGGCGACGGCTTTGTATACTCATTTCATTCTACCGCAGTTACTACTCTCATCTGCTTACAACCAACAAGTTGATGTGCTACATGATTACATAAAATCGAAAGAGGAACAGTTCAATGAGACTGTTCGCCTCATGTCCTTGATGCGAATGGAATCTAATAAGAGGAATGGTAGGATCCTTTTAATTTAAATATATTTTCTTGGTTACATTATATCTGATTATGTTTCGTCATCTTAAGATGATAATTCCACATCGTTCACCTCCGAAGACTCTTATCAAGAAATTGAGCGAGTAATTTTTGTCATTTGAGATTTCTATGATTCATGTATTTCTTTTTTTTCTAATTCGACAATTTTCTATAGATCATTACCAGTTCTGACCCTTTGGAGACTGACATACCTTTAGATTTACATAAAAACCAAATATACTCAAGATTATTTCAAAAAGCGACGGAACAGGTTATTCCCCCAAATCTTGTAAACCGTACCTGTTAATTCGTTCTAAATTATCAGTGATTCATATGTGTGTGTAACTGAGGATTTAAGTTTCTAACGACTAAACTACTTACATTTGCCACAGTACCTATAACGTCTGAAACTTTATCTTGTTCCTCGTCGGTGCCATCGATCTTTGACTTTGAACAATCATCGCGGATCTCACAATGTTCCACAATAAAACTACCCAGCCTTCCTTCTCAGATATCTGAGATATTTAACTCTCAGTTATCGGCTTATGAGGGTTCCACATTCGAGATTCCTTCACCCGTTCATGATGCATCACATTCAAATGTAGTTAATTCGGATGAGAGTCAGGTAGAGAGGGAAAGGATCCAGTTGGTAAAATGATCACTTATTATGTTCATGAGAAAAAATATATTGATTTTTGTGTATTTACTAATTTTTATTTTCAATAATTTAGGAAGAGAAGCTAAAGGCCGAGGCAGATGCTCGTGAGCGTAAGATAAGAACAGAGTTAAAAGAGATGGACCGAAGAAACGCGACCAAAATTATTAAAAAGCGTAAGAAGGTTCACTAAAGTCTGTTATGATGTATAATGCGTCTAGTTGACAGATAATGTGCAAATCCTGAGAAAACGCACTCGTGATTAAATCTTGCGCGTGCGACATTTCATACAAAGAGTTTTAGCGCGTTCCTGCGCAAATATATATAATTATAGTCTTTAAAGCATTTTCTTTCAACTGAATAAAGAATAAGGCGTTAACATAATGAACTCCAATTGTCAATTGCGAGATTATCCATTTGATTGGATGATAAATACACTGATAAAATTTTTTTTTTTTTTTTTTTTTTCTGACCTCTTTATCGAAATAATGCAAAATCAACCTCTTCGTCATATTTTCGTTCGTTGCATGCTACCAAAGATCTCGGTTAAACATGTGTCAAGTGTGAAATATTTTCGTAAATTGTCAAGGAGAAATATTCACGGTATGTACGTGTCCTTAACTCGTTTCACATATAACGTTTAGTAGACAACGATTTTTTATTTTCACGAGATCACTTATCCACTTCGAACTTTTAAAAGAAAATCATTTTCAACCAGAACTCAAAAAGAAATATCACATGTTTCCGCAATAACACCCACTCAACCGGATTCGAACCTAAATGGGACGGAGCAAGCAACATACCTCAAACGCATGCAAGAATTTCTCTCTGCGAATGACCTTTCTTCTGTCACAAAAGAATTTATCGAGCTCAAGAACAATAATGTCGCCCCGAACTTGGAGATTTACCACATTCTTCTCAAAGCTTGTCATCTGACAGCTGATTTGCCTAGTGCAATCGAAATAATTAAGCAAATGCACAACGCTTCCAAGGAAACATCTTTGCCAATCAAAGAGACTTACAAACTCCTTTTGAACGTGGTGGCTGCCTCCTCGGATCATACGTTAGCAATTAGCATTGTCAAATCGATAGCAAATGGTCAAATTCCCCTTGTGCATCAAAGATCAATTTTACGAGAAAACTCGGATCCCTTAGAATTTGAGGTCGATTTGGAGATGTGGAAACTGATGTTAAGTGCCATAACTACACCACACAAGTTATATGGCACCCGAAACATGGAGTATTTTGAGGAGGTAAAGAATTTAGGTGAAATGTTTTTGGAACTTCACAAAAGACCTTTTGACAAAGAAACTTGGAGATTACTTATTCGGGTGAGCTTTCTTCTTTATGTGCATAAAAAAAAAAAATTAGGTGTCACAAACTTGGTAATTGAAATTTACTCTTAGTCGCTAGGCTCATATCCTAAAAAAAGTGAAAATTTTGATTTAGCGTTGAAAAGCCTACAAGAACATTCAATCACGCCGGAACTATATTCAGAAATAATATGGGCACTATCCCGGAAATCAAAGGTGGAGGAAGCGATGATATATCTGGACCAATTGATTTCCGATTTCGGCTACATCCCTTCTCGTGAGCCTCTCTATGCACTGACTTCTTACTATGCAGATTTGGGTGAATATCAAGAGACTGATTACTTAATAAAAAACTATGCTAAATTAATCAAAAGCGAGGGACAACAGCCAGGCAAGCAGGAAAACTGGGAGATCAATTTCATGACGGTCTTAATGCAAGCATATGTCCAAGCCCTTCGTAAAAAAACTTCTCCTCAAGAACCAAACGCAAATTACCGGAACGTGATACCGATAGTAATGCGAGAAGAGAGCGTGGATTATTTTTCAAAAAAATACTTCACAAAGAGCCCATTTTACTTGTCATGGAAGAACCTGATGGAAAGCGTAAAGAAACCGGATTCAACATTTTGTCGAGATCACTACGATTTGATCATTAGGTTTAACGTTCTTGCCAATCGAATCGATAGCACCGAATTTCCCCTCGAGAACTGTTTGCAGATGATAAGATCCATGAGAGGTAATGGGATGGATCCAAGTTTTGAAACTTATAAATTTTTACTGGAAGGATACTCGAGATCAGAGTTCGACGGTACCTCGGTTCAACGGGTTGAAAAGGCTTTGGAGATTTTCGAAATGATCCGATTAGCTGGCTACGATGTAGATAACTTGCAAGTTTTTCAACCCCTTTTGGACTCCTGTTTGCCAAACGTTAAATTTGAGACCGATAGGCAAACCGAACGCGATCACAGGATTAGAAAAAAAGATAAGGGCGTCGAGAACATTTCATTACTTCACGAACCTTCCGTTCCGAAAATCTTTGAAATTGAGAAATTAATGAAAAACCTCAAGGTAATACACAATCAAAAATCCATTATGACAATACTCGAATATCTCGGAGGAACTGGAAATTATACAAACATGTGGCGAAGGTGGACAGAGATATCATTAATGGGTTATCGGAGGGGTGAGCTTTTATATGAAACCATACTAAGGTTGGCGTCCAGAGATTTCACTGAATCGGAGTATGCTATAAATGTAGTCAGGCATCAAATGGTAAGAGAAACACCGCCCGTCGAACCAACTTTCGGAATCTATTTTCAATTATTTGAATGTTGCTTAAAATGCAACGATATATTGACAATTAGAGAATTGATTGAAGAAATCAAAAATATTCAATTCGGAAAAACGAATGTGGAACATTGGAAGAGCAACGAAGACGACGGTTCGGACGGCGGAGGTGGTGCCGGATTTTTTGGAGTGAACTCCTTGAGGATTTCAAAAGAAGACCAATTAAAATTGCAAGCGTTAGTATTGAATACTTGTTTCAAATTTCCCGTCCTACATAAAGATGGTGAAGAATTGGCACGGAATGTTTTGGAACATCGAAAAGATTTGATTGACTTTGAATTTTGGAGGTTGCTTTTGGGTTATTATACAGAGCAAAATAGTTCTAAAGTCCAAGAGACATTTGAAACGTTTGTGGATTGGAGAAATTATCGTTGCGGATTTAAAAAGTTGGATATGGTCGAAAAAGAACATGAAGAAAATGCCGATACCGTTGTAGATTACCATCTTGGTGTTACGCCTCAATCAGAGTGGGATGGCAAGGACAACACATCAGGAACTTTGAATCCCTCCACCGTTGACTTTTCCAAAATTCGAAACATCAGGCTTCCGATTCCACCCTTTACCTTGAAAGACATTGGGATCATTAATATTTATGGCAAAAATTTAATTAGGGCAGGAAATTTTAGTTTGACAAAGGAAATTCTGACAGACATTGTTTCCAATTTTGAAATATCACCAAAATCTACAAAATCGCAAGTTTCGTTGGGTCAAACCACGACCACTTCCTTAATCACCAAGATAGACAGCAAGATAATTGACATGAACATTTTAAAAGAATTCGCGTATTTGACTTTTAAACAAAACAAACTCGATGAATTACGATGGCTAGAGAAAAGCATTTTGAATAAAATTGATTTTTCATCAAAGTCCCTTACTTCCACATCAGATAGCTTATCCCTGTCGACTGCTTACTCTTCCTTCCTGTCAAATGATCAAAGGGAGTTCGCCAAAAAAAAAGATTTCGAAATATTATCAAGGTGGATATCAAAATGTTTGAAGGCTTCACCTTCTTCATCGCACCCGATATCCCCTTCGAGACGTAATAGAGGGATGATCAACGATAAGTCACCTGCCGCCGAACATCCAGCATCGTACACATCATATGTTGATCTATTACCTTCGGAAGGATCTACTTCTACTGATGCGATGCTCAAAAGTCTAAATTATCTCGCAACAAAACCAAAGAATGTGGAGGACAATGAAGGAGGGAGAGGTACTAAAGTCAAAAATTAGAAGGTTCGATCTGATTTGGAGGGAATGAAATGATACGATTCATTTCTTAAAGATTCAAAATGAAACGCGCGGACATTCGTTCGCAAACAAATCGACGATTTTAAATTCTTTATTTATAAAAATTTGGATGAAAATAGCTTCATGTCCCAAGATGGAAATGAAATCAAAATTGCAGTTTGTTTTTTGTTTTCCGAAAGACTGCAAATCGAATAAATACATAAATAATATCTTTTTCATATAACAATATAAAGAAATCCCAAGTCCGGACACGTGAACTATTTAATCTAAAATACAAATCCTCATGATCTTTACGCAATTTTTTTTCTTTTTGAACTTTTTTTATGAAAAAAAAAAAAAATTATAAATCTTGTTTGTTACGTTTCGGTGGTGGCTCTAGATTTGAAGAACGTGAGAAAACCTGGGTAAACAATTGTGATGCTTTATTCAGGACATACATACCATCGTACAGCTCATCAGGGTAAGCATCCAAGTCATCTTCATCATCGCCATCCGGATCAGAATCATCGTAAACGTAATTGTAATGCCTAATTATCACGAAGGGGGGCCTATCAATTACTGTACTTTCCGTTTATTAGACTTTAAGTAAAAAAGAGTACTGACACCCAGGCCTCACTATATAGATTTTCTCTAATCGTTTTTCCCAATTCCCAAGAAATGTCGTCAGTGTCGGTTTCAGTGAACCATCGGATTAGGCTCTGTTCATCGTCTTCATCGTTCTTACGCTTCTTTGTAAAATCCTTAGTTTTGATTCCATCCATGATTTTAGTCGTAAGGTCATCATTCCATCTATCGACAATTAAATACGATATAGCGATGAATCAATGTATCCATACCTTGCCTTCGTGCCAAACAATCTCGCTGCATTTTATATGTCGTGTTCCATCTGCGTCCACGCTAAATTCCTGGTGATTATAAAAACAGGCATTAATCAAGTACGTGCACTGAATTTGGAGTGAAACAAGAACAATAGCAAACCTTGACAAGTTCGGTATTGGAAAAATAGGGATTCTCGGAAAACGTTAAGATAATCTTGTAAGTTTCCAAATCCTTTTCGTCCCTTTCGATAATTAGATCTTTGACATGTCGGATAACCTGTGGACGGAAAGAGAATCCTCGAATTAGTGATTGGGTCGAAGCGATATCAGAATCTATGTTAGAAAAGAAGATACCTCGTTGTCATTGTAGTCCAAGTATGTACCTGTGAATAAAGTAATGAAAGAAATGGTTGAGTGGATGATATTTTATTCACTGGTTTCGAGTCGTTGTGATGATTGATAAACTTACCGACAATGGGATGTTTCACGAACTAATGTTAAAAATTGCAGGGACGTTTGTCTTTTTAGAAAGGAAAATAGAGAAGGTGAAGAATTAGAAACAATACTCACGACAGTCGTCCAAAAATCTGGAATTTTCTCAAAAACCTTCCGCCGTTTTTCGTAAATTGGAGCAGAAAGTTTTACCCGTTGCCTCGCTTTATTATAAAAACAGGTAGGGTAGAGATGGTGTGAGGATATTACGTGGGTAAATAGCAAGCACGAAACTCCGACAATGAAACATTTGAATACCAATTTCTATTTCTACTAGCTCAAGTTCCTGCTGTATTGACTTCATTTCTTCGAAAACTTCTCCGGCAACTTCGATATCGCCATTAGCCGTTCCTTCTCCAGAGCTGCTTGCCATCGTTAGTTTCAAGTCAGACAGTGAACAGAAAAATTAAGCTTCTAAAGAATGTCCGTGGGTTTTTGAATGGACAATTTAGCTAACTTTAATTGACCAAAATCACCGCACGGATTAGGATTGTATAACGAAAAAGTATGTATTCGGAAGATCAATTGACTTTCCACCGAATATCCATCCTGTTACACGGAGACCTTGTACTTAATTAGACGTATTGAAAGACATCGTTGTTTGAAGGGTAATATAAAAAAAAAAACAAAAAAAAACAAACAAAACAAAATATTACAATCACGACTCAGTTTATACTACGTTTTAAAAAATGGAAAAAGGTTCTCGTCTCTCCGTTTTAGCTGACAACATTCTCGCTAGCATTGTTGAAAGGAACAGATGCAGAAAAGAGAATATTGAATATCCTCACGAAGATGTGATCAATAAAAATTTGGTTAGATTACAAACTGGAATCAAAGAGTTAGAACAGGAACTATCAAGCGCTGAAGAGTCCGGAATTCAGTATGTGAAAGTAATTCATTTATTTGATTTCACGATTTTCATCAATTCGTAATGACTTTTTGATTATACAAAATCTCATCATGTCTCGACACTTTAAATTTTAGCAGCTCTAAGGATCTTAAAGGAAGAGAGGATACGCTTATCAAACTAACCAAAGAATTTGAGAAATTGAGTGCCTTAATGCAGGATGACATTTCCACCAGAGAATTATTGCTTGGGATCAATGCAATTCCGCAGACCTCTACTGCTAGTAAATCAAAAACAAAAACGGTAAGATTTTCGGATCCGATAGCCGAAATTAATGACATGGACAATACTCAAGTTCTCCTACTACAAGAAAGAATTATACGTGGTAAGTGAATTTACATTTATCATCATATAATTTCGCACCCATCTGCCACCACGGCCTTAAACATTCTCGAAATTTCAGAACAAGACGAAGATCTGGATCGATTAGATGCCGCCATAGGGCGTCAAAGAGAATTAAGCATAATGATAGGCGAAGAACTAGATTCGCATATAGAACTATTAACGGACACAGAAGCTATTGTGAATCAAACAGATGGAAAGTTAAATAAAGCTAAGAGGGGACTCTTAAAGATATCAAAAAAAGCCCAAAAAAATGGTAATATTCGAAACTGTGATTAGAGATTTTGAGACTTGGTGCTAATAATTACGCTATTTTATTCATTTTAGGTTCAACGTGCCTGGTCGCTTCGTTGGTACTTGTTTTGATCGTGTTATTGGTTATTCTTTTTAAATAGGGAATTTTATTTTTTCTTTCAAGGACTCATCCATAGACATTTTGTACACGTTCGCATTTATAATGAACTATTCGACAATGTTGAAAATGTTATACAACCTGTAATCAATGCTTTATTATTGAATTATTTACGAATCTTGACTACACTTAATTTAATAACCATCGAACATCCAAATATCGAATATTTCTATTTTTTCTTTACCTTTTTACTCGACTTTCGATCTTTTGTTTGAAAATTTCTATTACCAGCGGTTTTAGTATCTGTTTCATAAAACGAACGTTTCTTTTTCCGAGTTTCCTTAGTGGCACCAAAATTTGTATCATGGAGATGCTATTTAGGATTATTAATAAAGAGATCGATTATTATTCTGGGGTTGCTTCAAGAATCAAGAATAAGATTGAGTAAAACACTTCACCATCGTTGCAACGCGTTTCGCGGTAGTTATTTCATTCAAACTTTCCAAGATTTTATTTTCGTTAACTTTCCATTCTTCCATTTTCTTATCTATTTTTTAAATTCGAAATTATAATAAGATAGATAAACTAACATCAAAGGATCTTTAAAATATAAATTTAATATTTACTTATTCTGGCTTCAATATTGCGAACCAGCTCTATGTCACGTTCTGTTATAATGGATAATGCGACACCACCTCGACCTATATTATTAAAATTTCACGAGATCGTTAACACATTTAAATTTTTTGTTTTGCAAACATCTTTTTGGAATTCCTACCTGCTCTTGCAGTTCTACCGACTCGATGAATATAATCGGTTGGATCTCTTGGTATATCAAAGTTGATCACAAGTTGCACTGTCGGAATGTCTAGACCTCTGCCGAAAAAAAGTGCGTTCAGAGATCGGGAATTATGTATGAAAGGGGCTTCAACCGAAACTCACCGACTTCCAACATCTGTAGCGATTAGCACCTTAACAACCTCTGCCTTAAATTTTCCTAAACTATTTAACCTTTCTTTTTGACTCATTGTAGAATGCAAACCCGTACATCGTATATCTAATTCCATCAACATCACTCGTAGCAACTCTGCAGTTTTGCATCGACCGCAAAATATTATTACGGATTTATCTGCAAATTCTTCGGATCTCAACAGACGAATTAGATATGGTTCGCGGATATGTGATGGAACGAGCACGTAGTATTGGGATAAAGTTGAAACAGTTGACGTGCTGAGTCGAAAATGCAAATAAGTTAATCAGGTCGGCAAAAGTTGGTGAAATGAATATACAACAAGTAAAGAATTTTGAATCAAACCAACTTTGATTTTACTCGATGAACAAAAGGTTTCTTATCAGGATCATCTTCGGAATCTTTTAGAGCCAGGATATTTTCCGTCATCGTTGCAGTAAACAATAAGGTTTGTCTTTTTGAAGGTATATGGTCAAGTATAACACCAAGATCCTCGGCGAACGTATCGGACAGCAAGCGATCAGCTTCGTCAAGTACCTTTTTATATGTAAAACACAATACGATCAACGACGGTAACGACGAATTGACAACCCACATTCAATCAATCAATCAATCAATTATTTAATCTTACCAAAAACCTAACTCTGTTAAAATTTGCTTGAACATTACTACTGTGTATATGATCCACTAGTCGACCTGGTGTCGCAATAACGACATGTGGCCTCCTTGAGAGCTGTAATGCTTGTTCCATCATATCAAGACCGCCAACTACAACGCAATCTTTTAAATTTATGCCTTTACCAAGAACTCGAAATTGATCCGCAATTTGGAATGCTAATTCCCTATCGTCAAAAGGGAAATCTAGAATTCGTAATTCAATCGCGCCTCTATGAGCTAACAAGGAAAATATGCTTACCTTGTCGGAGTCAACACGAGTGCGAAAATTCCAAATGGATCTTCTGACAATTTCTGCAATATCGGTAAAGCAAAAGCAGCGGTTTTACCGCTACCGGTTTTCGCTTCGCCTATACAATCCCTTCCGGACAAAATCTTTGGTATACATGCAACTTGAATTTCGGTCGGTCGCTTGATTAACATGGAGTTTAATGCCTGGATCAGCCACGCTTCCAACCCTAAATTCTCGAAATTGCAGTCGTTTAACGTCAATGCCGTGTTTTTAGAATTTGAAGGTAAACTATAAGATTCTTCATCTTTGCTATTGTTGCTATTGTCTGTGTTTTCCATTATCAGTTACAGTATATGCTGATTAAATACTATAGGTTGTTGGTTGATAAAAAAATTTTTTAGATAATATAATTTCATTGGTCAATCACATCTAAAACACACGCATTATCTTTCACTCCTCGAGAATGGTGTTAACCTTGGCGAGACGCGGCTTGAAGAAAATATACTTTCCAAACATAATTTTTAGACTTGTTCGCGCCCCAAATTTGGCGTCAAATCAAGTGGCCTTTCGTGTGCCTCCAAAGGTCAATAAGCTTGACATTCGTGATTATTTAACTCACATATATCAAGTTAAAGTTGTCGATGTGCGTACAATGAATTACGCCGCAAAACGTCCCGTTAGGAAGAAAAGTGGTGTGATTCGAGGTCATTATCATTCGAGATATAAAAAAGCTATCGTAACTCTATGTGAAGATTTCGTATATCCTCCCGAACCCGACAGGCTCTATTTGGACGAATTTGAGGATAAGGCTGAGATGGTGAGATTGTACACCAGGAAATTGGCGGGATGGAAATCCAGGCCGCAAAGAATTAACGTAAGAGTAAAGGAGAGATTAAATAAAATCAATGAGATCGAAAAGCAAAATGTGAAAGAGGACTTGGATTAGACATAATTTTAAAATAGATCGCATATTTTAGTTTGGTTTTAATGTTATTCATGGTATTTCGACATCTTCGGCAACAATAATGTACAGATTTGACAAGCGCAATGTAATTCATGTAAACAATATAACAAAATATTACTTTAAAAACTGATTTATTCTATAATTACAATTTGCTTCTTCTTGGGATTGGTTTGTCATATACATTTGAGAATAAATAATCTTTGGGCACGAAATTATGATCCTTTAAGTTTTTAATATCAACCATCTCAGGCCTAATATCTGCGAGCGTATTCACACCCATTAATCGCATGACCATTTCTAATTCATCTTTTAACAATTGCAATGCATGTTCAACTCCTTCCTGTCCATATGAGGACATGGCATATAGCATTGGTCTTCCAATTCCAACAGCTTTGGCACCCAACGCAATAGCTTTAAAGATGTCTGTGCCACGACGGATACCTCCATCCACGTATATCTCAATACTATCTAGCAAACCTTCTTTTTTTAGAGAGTCAACTACTTCGGGAAGAATTTCTATGGCGGAACGAGCAAAGTCAAGTTGACGACCTCCATGATTTGAAAGCACTATACCTTTACATCCATACTTTGCCGCGAGAATGGCATCTTCGGATGTCTGAATTCCTTTGAGTACAATGGGCATAGAGGTAATAGACATAAACCACTTCAGATCATCCCAATTTAAACTTGGATCTATGAATTTGGAAATCGCTAGCGCCGCACCTCGGTCACGTCTTATCTCATGCTCTCCTTGAACATCCGGAGGCGCATCGACAAATTTAACGCGCATATCTTTCTCACGACGACCTAACTGTGGAGCGTCCACTGTGATAAAGAGTGCCTTACACCCTTTCTCTTCTGCTGCTTGAACGATTTTCTTCGTAATATTTTTATCGCTATTTACGTATAACTGAAAAAATTGAATCTGACCTTCTCCCCGAGCACTAATCATCTCATCTAAAGAACAAGATGCAAGAGTAGGTATCATTTGAATAATTTTTTGCTTGTATGAAGCTCGAGTAAGAACAACCTCCCCTTCAGGATGACCAAGTTTCCCTAAAGCGGTGGCTGTTATGTACAATGGAAAAGAAGAATGATGACCAAGAATTTTTGTACTGCTATCTACATTTAACACATTTCTCATAACTCTAGGTCGGAGCCAGATACGGTGAAAAGCATTATGATTCTCCCGAAGGGTAATTTCATCTTCGGCGCCAGAACTATAATACGCCCATGCTTCAGCAGTTAACACTTGGGAAGCCACTGCTTCAAAATCGTACAGATTCAACATTTCACTTAAGGCCGGTTTTTTCTCAATTGCCAATCTACGCCGCTTATCCTCTTCGGTTTCAACTTTGGCAGTTTTAACAACTGTGGCAGGATCAATTTCTCCAAGAAAAGCCTCGGGCGGCAGATATTGTTTAATGATATCTAACGGGTGGATTTGATCGAATGCGGCCGTTCCATCTTTACCAGCTTGTTTGAGAATAATTCTTTCGCCACCAGGATGTTCGGGAAGAAATTTTGTTAGATCGTATACTTTTCCATGTATGATTACCCAGCAATCCTCCCTTTTATTGTGTTTTGAAACTTCTTGAGCTGATATCAATCTCATTTTCAACAAGAGGGAAAAAAGCCTGATTTTTTTTTATCATCATGTGAAACCTTTTTGTTATAAAACAAAAATCACGTCACCCGTGCAGTACACTGTGCAGATTATATTCGTTTGCATGAGTAGGCGTATATATTAAAAAAAAAAAAAAAACAAATACAATATACTGTATGTTATTGCAATCTAAAAAACAGTGTATTCTTTAATATTCAATTACATGATTACAAGATCCATTTAAGTTAACTTGCACCTCCACCTATAGTCTTATCCAGAAGTGGGCCTATGAAATTTTTAAAAGATAAATGTTATCACTAGCTTATAAACTATTTAATTTAATCTAGATTCTGACAATTGTTATTGGAAGAAATATCTTTTAGAATTGAATAAAATATCTTTTTTTTTTTTGATGTTAAGGTGAGACACTTCTCATGATCTTTATTGATAGAGTAAATATATAATATTACATAATCAATATTAAGATATAAGATATATGGCTATACATATCGGTCTACCACCTATTGTAGTAGATATATTTCCAAAAAACCTTGAGCAGACAAAAAAAGAAAGGAACTATCTACTAAGAAAAATAAAAAATAAAAAAACATTTGGGGCAAGATCGCCATTTGGTAAAGGAAAAAAAGTAGGAAAGAAGAGATGTCAGAAAAATATTGAAGCTTTTGTTAAATGTGGTTCCTGAACGCAAATAATGTTTCAGTCGGATGACGGCATCGCGCAAGCCACATATAACTCGATGGGTTTGATCAGGTGATTTTTGTGATATGTTGCTGTTGAGTGATGTGGCTGTGTTGTAGTGTTATAGTAGGGTAACTGGAATATATTCCAGATGTTTGTTGTTGTTTTTTTTTTTGTGGTGGGTTGTTATGTATTGTGATGTGATTACCAGAACCCACGCAGGGCACTGATTACGCGCTCTTCCAATTCGGTAAGTTGTTGTGTTGTTTTGATGTGGTTTGGTGATACGGAATGTCATTGGTGTTTTATGTGTTGCAGATCTTTTAGTGGGGTAAGCTGATTTCAGTTTTTTATATATAAAGGTGGACGAGGACTGACAACTAGCCAGAAGATTATGCCAATTAACCTGGCACTAGTTGTCATCAGCAGAAAACAAAAACTCTGAAAAAATAAAATACGCCTCTTGAGAAGAAGATTGTGTTTGATTTTGTATGTGTTTTTTGTGATGTGATAAGTAGTAATGTGTGTAAATACTGTAAAAAGGTTTTCTTTTGTTTGGAAATTGCTTACATAGGTTTCACTCAGTAAAGCAAAAAGTTTAATCGAAGAGGTTTTTGCCACTCCCAAAGCATTCACCCCTCTATGGAAAGTTAATCGACCCCTTGCATCCTGCAGAAAGCTAAGATGAACTCCTCTCCCAGGAAGAGATTCTTGCTCGCTGTTTACTGTCTACCGTTCATGTTGTTACCAAAAAAGGAAATTTTTTACAAATTGAAGGATTGTGGGAAAGAGTTTTTTTAATTTTATAAATTTAAATACAATAAATTTAAAAATTAATAAATAATAAATATAATATTATATATTTTTAATAAAAATTTTTTTTTATATTTTAATTTACAATTAATCAAAATATTAAAATTTTTTAAAAAAATAAAACAATAATTTAAAGTTAATTAAAAAAAAATTCATATTAAATTATTATTTTAGATTTTTAAAAAATTTTAAAAATTAATTTTACAAAATAAAACTTAAAATAATTTTATTAAAATTATTTATATATTAAAAGAAAAATCTTTAAAAAAATTTTAAAAAAATTTTTATAGTAAAAAAACAATGTTTTCCATTTATATTTATATATCATCTATATGTGAAAATTTGTAACAAAATTTTTGCAACTAAAATTTTTAACTTTAAATTAAAATTTTAAAATAAATTATTAATAAACTATTAATAAAACTTAAATATCTTATTAATTATATTATTAAAATTTTAAAATAAATTATTAATAAACTATTAATAAAACTTAAATATCTCATTAATTATATTATTAAAAAAGTGTTTTAAAAATTTTATTTAAATTTATTTATTATTTATTAAATTACAGTACAGGTTATAAATAAGTTATCCTCCTTTAAAAAATTCAAATCTAACCCAATTGTTTTAAAAAAATTAGGATAAATTGTTTATTACAATTTTTGATCCTCTGATTTTTTTCAGATTTTTATAATTCCTAAATTAAAATTTAGATAAGAACCAAATTTTAGAAGTTATTTTTTTAATGATTTTTTATAACTTGAAAATTTTTTAAAAATAATTCATAGATCAATTATTTATATAATTAAAAATTCTTAAAAAATTATATATTAAAATCTAAATCCTTTTATACTATTGACAAAAATTTTGATATATTTTGATAAGACAGTTGTCAAAAAATTAACCTTCAAATTTTAAGTTTGTTTAATAAAAAAAAACTTTTCAAAGTATAATTTTTATCAATTTTACTATATAATTTATTATTTTTTAATATTTTTTATAATAAATTATATAGTAAAATTAATAAAAATTATATTTTGGAAAAAAAAAACTCTTTCTCACAACACTTCAATTTGTAAAAAAATTCTTTTTTTTGGTAATGACATAAATGATAGACAGTAAACAGTTAGCAAGAACATCTTTTTAGGAGGGAGTCTATCTTAACTTACAGCAGGGTATATGGAGTCAATTAACTCTCCATAGAAAGGTGTATGTTTAAGAACAGGGCAAAAACCTCTTCGACTAAACCCTTTGCTTTACTGAGTGAAACCTATGTAAGTAACCTCTAAACAAAAGAAAATCTTTTTACTTATCCAAATACTTTACTACTTAAAACACTCCAAAAACATATACAAAATCAAACACAATTCTATTTACAAGAGGCAGTATTTTATTTTTTCAGAGTTTTTGTTTTCTGCTGATAACAACTAGTGCCAGATTCATTATAATCTTCTGACTAATTTTCAGTCCTTGTCAATATTATCCTTACATTTACAAAAAACTGAAATTAGTTTATCTTCACCTAAAGATCTACATTTTACAAACAACCAATCATATTTTGTTTTATTTTATTAAATTAAAACAATACAACAATCTACCAGATTGGAAGAGTGTGAGATTAGTACTCTGTATAGGTTCTGATAGTATCACCAAAATAAATTCAAATCAGAAAATACCATACAACTTTGTTTCATATCCAAATACAAACTTGAAATCAATACTCTTTATAGTCAAAAGACTATCACCAATCAAAAAACCTTAAATCTGATCACCAAACTATCCATGCCAATCATTTATCTCAATCATAACAGCATTATAACAAATACTATAATAATGGAGTTGTGTCCCATGTTGCCCTGCTCACAAAGCAGCTAATGCTTGACTGGAGTGAGTAATTTAAGTTTGTGACTTATTAAGGGTAGCAGCAGGCTTAGGGTAAAGCCAATGTCAATACTTACTGAAATTATTATTACTAATAATTTATCAGTTATACCTAGTAGGGAAGGATTATTATAGTAATACTTTCTTTAATAAATTTGAATTCTTTTTTCTTTTTTATGTTCTTTAATATGGAGAGAATTATCTCTCTATTTATAGATAGATAGTTCCTTCTACTTTTTTCAACCAGTGTTTTATAGAATATATCTATCTTAAAATAGTATAGGCCAATGTTTATAGCAACATATCTCAATGTATTCCTATTGTTGTAAATTTTATACTTAGTTAACTTTGTAAAAATTGAATCAACAATAAAAAAGATTATAATTTGAGATGTGCCTCGCAAAAAAAAAAAATGTATAACAAAATTGAAAATCTCAAAAGTGTTCATCAAAAGAAATATAAAGCTCTATAATTCCATTTTCAAACAAACTATAAAAAGAAAATAATGTTTATTGAAAAGTCAATTATAAAATCAGATTTTTCTTAAATGCAAACATCTTTATTACTTACCTATAATATATTAAAAATCAGTAATTTTTGGAATTCAATTTGCTTTTCCAGATTATAAAATATGGTTATAATCTTTTTTACTATCCCAAAGGTAGTAAAAAGTAGATTACTTTTCTATTTATCAAAAGTACAAAGAGATGTTTACAAATATTCTTTCAAATTATCTTCAATTTCAGAGAAAGTTTCTTTCAAATCAAAATCAAAATCCTTATTATTGACAGAAACACTATAGCAAATGTAGCCAGATTTTTGTATTCTTCAAATTTTTTTTTAAAAAATCTATTTTTTTCTTTTATCTCCTTTATCTAATGATTTCAAAAACCTTTTAAGAAACCTCTTTTATCACTTTTCAATTAGAAAATAAAATAATTTTAAAAATCTGAATTTTAAAATAAAAGAAGTCAAAAATTTTTTACAGTTTCATCCAAAATCCTACAATTCTATTTTGATCTTTCACCTTTCAAGTCTTTTTTACTATTGAACCTTGATCAACTGGATCTTGAATTTGAGCAGTATTTTTCACTAGATATTACATATATAATATAGGACTAGTAATATATAGCTTTAGAATCAAATACTATTTCAAGTATCTTCTATCTTATTTTTTTAAACAAAAAAGTCCACTATCATATAATTTTCATTTAATTCAAGACTTCTTTATATTATTGAATATATAAACTTTACAATTAACAAATATGATACACAAATATAATCAATTATCTAAAAGATAAATTTTTCTTTTCCCTTTTTTTGAGCTTTCAATGGGTTTTATTAACAATCTTTCAAACAGATAAATTAAAACCACTAGTAAATATTCAAGAAGTAAATTTATTATTTTATCTTGGTCAATTTATTCTTAGAAATAATGAATTAAGATAGTGGAAATAACATAATTATGTTATTTCCACTTGGTATAGGTTATTCCCACTCAGGTATGTATCATGATCCAAATTTTATGACACAGACTAAGATGTCGTAATCCAATTTTTACAACACAGACTAAGGTATTTGAGTGATTAAAAAATTATCGATATTGAATTTGACTT